TGAATTACAATGACTTGTTGAATAGAATGCAAACCTGATAGTGTCAGATGATGTACTATGACTAAGGCTGAATATTGAAATAAAACATTCATGTATTGATCATCTGTATTTCTGTTTCTTGAGCGCATGCTAGGAGGCTGAATTTCGAACTAATTTTTGTCAGAGAATAATTGGGAGATCTTGTTAGAGTCGCATAGAACTCTTTATCATAGGCCTTCCAAGAGGAAGTACCTATGAAGGAGGCTCAATGGTTCTATCTCACTTACGACCTGATAGAATGTTCAGGAACTGAAATGTATTGTGGCATTTAAGTATTACATTGCAAGTCTTCACAAAGTACCATGTCTACTACAGACATTAACTTCATCAAATAATGTCATATACAACCTGCAGAATACTCTGAAGTTTGACCCTCTATTTCTCAAGTTAGGAACATTGTCGCATAGAACTTTGTTGAACTGAGGTGACAAATTATCAAGGAAATCCTTTTGAAAGCCTTATTTTTATTAAATTTTTGCAATACAGGGAAAGAAGAGCTGGAGGAAACATTGGAGGACACTCCTAACATCATGTCTCCCATACCTGAACCAATCCATGACTCATGTGATATTGCTTGTGACAAATCAATTGTGCCTAAATCTGGAATCATTAGAAGATGTTGTGGAACCTCTATGCAGGTAACATTCTTTCACTTTCTTTTTTTAAGGATTTATTTGCACCCTCACTAAATCTGATTGATTAGCTAAATTTTTGGTGCATTTGGGAAATCAGGATCTTCTGAGGCAGGAGTTTTAATAGCAGCAGAACATTAATGACTGTGAATTCTTCATCATGTATTTATAGTCACTCAACAACCCTTAATATTTACAAGGTCTCATCTTGCTGTTATAGGTGCCAACCTGCATTTTGTCAATTGCCACTGACTACAAATAGACCAAGTAATCAGCATAACCAATGAATCATTATATTGATACCAACACTATATAATATATTTCAAGGTTTTCCAAGTCATAGCTTTGATTGCTCATCCTGAGTGGTACCAAAACCAATCAACAACTTTCCAATAGAAGAACCAAAGGAATAAGTTTTTTACTGAAAGGGACTTAATCCTTATAGACCCGGTGTAAATACCCATGTATCATACATACATTTATTTATTTATTATTTAAATGGCAAACCATTTGTATATCTGCATGTACATTCAATACCTCCTTTACTATTAGATATAAAACTTTGGAAAACCCTTTAAATGACTCTTTTTCACATCACAATGCCATATTATAAAGGTACCAATGCTATATAATTTTTAAAATGTTTAATCATCAGAAATAATTCAGGCCTGCAGGGGTTAAGAATGTCATTCAAAATACATTTTGACAATAATACACAAGGGTCACCACAAATGTTTCATAAATAGTATGCTTGAAAGTGTCAGTTGTTTCTCAGCATCACTGAAAGAGGGTATTCAATTTTTTTTTTCTGATTGATCAGCATTATGGCAGACAGTAGGACGAGGAGTAGTTGCTTGTTTGAACCTGCAGTGCCCCAAGTGCCTTCCCTTAGGTGGAGAGACTTGTAGGTTATCATTCAGTGCAATGCTGTTTCCAAGAGAATGTGCCCTTCATAGTCTCATGCTGAGATGTTTGCTGGAGTAAGGGATATCACCTTTTTCCTTATGAACACTGAAGGCTAGTTGCATGTATTCATGACTGTGACTTCTTAGAGCATGAACTTCAAGATGAGTAACATTTGTCTGTTGAAGGTGATTTGCAAGATTGAAGCTGAACAGCAAATGATGCATTTGTTGAAAGATGGGTTCCTGGGGATTAGCAATAACAATATTTCATGAAAAATTAGGACTCAGGAAGGTCTGTTCTTCATGGATCCCCCATTTCCTCACTGATGAACAAAAGCAGCAGAGAATGGAGTTTTGTCACCTCCTGCTTAAAAAAGTTTCAAGCAAGGGTTGACAGTGTTTCCTATTAGGTTGAATACCTTCTGCACAGTAGTACGCATGACCAGCAAATGCTCTTCACTTATTTCAAAATGGTTCATGCCTCTTGTGTTATGTGCCTTATGTCTCTCATGTCACCCTCATCCTACAATCATGGGTAGTGAAACAATGTACATTTTAAAAAAACCTACACATTCTTAGTTCTGGGGGAATATATACAGGATGTAACACAAGTCCATACTCATAGGTAATTGAAGCTGTTTAGTTTTACTTTTACCATGTGATTGTTATTAAAGACTATGGGTGACTACACACCCCTAGAAAAAGTGGCTTTGGGTTTGTTACACATTGATGGTAGAAGCCAGAGAGAAGCTTGTGAATAATTTCTCCAATTTGAACATTTAATGAAATAAACTTAAATGATTCCAATTATCAATTAGTATAGACTTTTGTTATACCCTGTGCAGTGTTTCAAAAAAGGCAACCTTTTAATTTTTACAATCTCTCCATCTGATACTGTTTGAATGTCATGCTTTTCTGTCCAAGCATCTCAGGTAGATTTTTGCCTAGTTTTAAAGAAATTTCACCCAACTGCAAATATTTTTTTTAAGTTAAAGTATTGAAAACAACAGTGAACAACATCCATGCTGCTCCTTACTCCTCCTTGTCAGGTAGGCTGGTGTGGTAAGGTTCAACATTACTAGGTGCTGGTGGCACATGGTCTCAGTGGAGAAATAGGTTTTTAATTACTCTCATCAATTAATATTACAGTTGCTTTGTGTTTGATTGCATCTATAATCATTTATTTTAATTTTTTTCTGTAGGCCTCAAGCTAAACTCTCCATTTTTGCAATTTTCATCATATTGCTTATCATGCATTTTCAGAGAACAACACAGGATTCAGTGAAGTGGACATGGTCAAATAAACTGGCATCATTTAATTTAATAAATGCAATTAACTTGTATTAACACTTGATAAGGGGATTTGATTGAAAATCAATTTCCTCATCAGGACTGCCTGCTGTCTTCACTCAGCAATGCTTGAGCTTGCCATTTTGAAGTACCTGGTGTGAGCAATGCACAGATTGCTTATCCACTGCAATTTTTGATATTTCATATTTGAAAAGTTATTGCATAGCATCAGTATGTAGTTTTGTAAGTACTCACCCAGTACTAAGCATCCAGTGCTTCGATCATATTATAGTGCATATCTCATGAGAGTAGCTCCATCGAGAACAGTATATAGGTTTAAAATGATTTGGTTGGGTTTTTCTTTTTTTTCATCTTTTCATCTTTTTACTCATCTGAAATGAAATTACCCATCTTCAAGGGTGACTCCTCAAACCATATCCCTCTGAGTCACTATCAACAAAAGTGTCTCAATTTTTTAAATACAGGATCATTTTTCTTACCCTCTATTTGGAGATTTTTTCTGACTGGTCATACAATATGTAAGATGTGTAGTTGACATCTCTGAAACAGGTTTCATTATGGCATTCCTGCTTCTGATCTCTATCTTGTTTTGACATCAGACTGTTACATGGTGTTTTTTACCAATGTGTTGAAAAGCTTTGGTGACTTCATCAATGAATTTTGTGCAGGACTATGTAAGGGTTGGATTGCTCATGTTCAGGATCTTTTTTGAGAATTTAGCTAAAAAACTAGAATTTATGTTTTTGCGACATTAGCTTACCTTATCCTGAAATCCTCAGTTTTGAGTCTTGGAAAGCACTATTACCAGATGAACTAATAATAATAAATGTTTACATTTTTTTGCTTTTTGACAGAGAAAGGGAAAACTTTCAAGATCTTTGTACTCTTGGTTATATACTGCACTTTTGCCTCTTGGAGGATGAGAGTGGGAATCTGGCTAACATTCCATCTTCCTCATCTACATCTATAAACACATCCCTTGCATCTTTCTCAAAATCCGTCCTGTCAGCCACTGTCAGCAAGTTCCATGTGATCAACCATCTCTTTACCATTCTATCCCCTTTTCAGGTGAGAACATCTGTTTTTCAGCTGGTTGTATTTAGTCATGTTTTGCAAATAAAATATTGAATAGATTATGTATACTTTAATTCATGACTGTTATGTGTCTTCAAGTCTTGAATGTCATCTATCAAGTAAGAAGATACTCTATAATTCTATTCAGTTCTAAAAGAGCTTGTGAAGAAGTGTCCAGTCCTGTCATGAGTGCCATTAGATAGAACGCTTGACTGAAAAGATAAAATATGTCCATGGGCTCAACACATTCAGTGCAGTTAGGTCAAGGGTTATAAGTCAAAAACTGTTAATTGAAATAAATTAATAGTAGGCTAGTCATCTGGCAGTTACTCAACCTAACAAAGTTTTCATAAAGTGAGTCAGCATCTAAAATACTGCTTCTTGGTGTCATCCCTGTTGGGCACTTGGACCTTTCAAAAAAGAGTGCATATCAACTTATGAGAGGCAAAAGGGGCCAATCTCATAGTAGTATTTACCAGATAATACCAAGAGATCCTTCATTGAATTTTCATTTAAATATATGCTGAAGCATCAGATTATTTAATTAGTTTTTTTGCTTATAACTATTGACCTTGTGTGCCAATTGGGTCAGGTCCATAATATTCTATTGGTTGAGAGCTATCTAATGACAGCCATGATGTCAGTCAATACTTATAGACATGCCATCACAAGGCTTTGGGCGTATTTCTTTGAATAAATTTTTTTGCACATTTTAATTGAATTTCTGAAGAACTTCTTTGAATAAGATTTAATGAAATTCTGTAGAAGTATATATATAATTTCTTGTACAGTATAGAACTTCTGCAAAACATTTATGTTTCGGAAGACTGCAAGCAGTGTGGTGATGTGGTGCACATCCAATATAAATGTCAGCAGGTGGGTTCGATGCTTCAATGGTGGAATCAAAGGTCATGCTTGACGACCTAGGAAGCCTGCCACTGCTACCCTACTTTTGTAGAACTTTGAGTGCCTGAGATGAATGTGGATAATTTTCTGTTATGCATTTTATCAAATTGGAATTTTTTCCCTGTTTCCTGTAATGCCAATTGCTCTGGACAAGGTCATCCTCTCAGGTGCTACAACAATGGTAGGTCATTAAGCTCTAACTGTGATGCTTTTGTGAAGCATTGAACCCACTAGGAGACATTTATCTCATATAGACATACAGTGCACATGGCAGAAGCTCCCACAATCTCTTTTATGAAGAATTTCTACCACTACTCTGCATGTACATGCTGTCATGACACTTCACCAATTTGAAATGATTGCACTTTGTCTAAGTGAGGAACCCTTGTAATCCCAGCCATTAAGAATTGCTAAGTGTGACACAGTATTCCTTTGAAGTTTCACCATTCTGTGTTTATTAGTTTCTGAGAAATAATAGCAATGACAAGACTTCCACGATGCTCATAATAAGTATTCATGGAGATTTTCCCAGCTCATCTGGAGCTGACTAGCCCTACCCCATTCTATATCCCAGAAATCACATAAAGATAAATAATGCAATTTATTGAGTTGGAGTATGTATTGAACAAAAGTCTTGCTGGCTGAATCAGTGTTATGAATTATCACTCTATATTATTCTAAAGTGCATCTTGATCTGGACCAAGCAAAAGGTAACATGCAAGATCAAAGTGACATTAATTTAATTTAGGCAGCAGTGGTAGTAAACAAGAGTAAGACCAAAGGAGGAGGAGTTGCTTTGTCAATACAAGTAGATAGTATAGGAGCGAACTATTTGCAATGAAGAAATATGGAATAGGAATAGAGCAGAGCCATCAGAGAGAACCTGACAATTTCATGTGTTTTTTGTCAGACATCCTCTCCCAATCTTGTGAACTTTAAACAAATACTACTTTAAAACTACTTTAAAAAAATAAAATTTAGTGATTGCAGTGAACTTCCCAGCTCATCCATTCTGCAACCAGTTTGACTTCCTGCATGCTCTGAGCTTCACCCATATCTTCAGATTGCTAACCACTATGTAGAGATTGGTGGTTCAGCCCCACACTTACTCTCAAATTCACAATTCCACCAAAACCTGAATGTAATCAGTGACAGCTGGCCCACAGATCTAATTTGACTGTCAAAACCCCTGCCAGGTATACTTGTGGATATCCTTGTGCTTTAAAATTTTGTTACCTTATTGTTAGGCCATTTCTTGCATAATTGTCTAGCAGCTTTCTATCATTTTCATATAATATAGCTTCTCCAAATCAAACAATCACATCTCTCCATGTCATCAAATTGAATTGAATCCATCAGTGAAGTGAGAGTAACTTTTGGGATCCCTCGTAGGTTCCCATTCATCACTTCAAGGAATTTGTCACAGTCCAATTCACTGTTTAAGTCTGTAGACTTGAACAACTCTGCAATGAGAGATTTCCACTTTCATTTTTCAATCAGTTTAGATTCATCTTCAATTATAACCTATGGGAGAGAGATTGAGATGTTCATCTGGCCATGGAGATGGTATTGCTTCCACCTTACTTGACTCACTCACCAGGGACTTGTGCTTTTTGTCTCCCTTCATTGTACAGCAGGTGTTTGCACACACGTGTGGCATTTCTTATACCTCACTGAACAACTCCCCAAATTGAGTCATCCAAGAATATTGTGTATGCCATGCCATTGGCTGTGCATGGATATGCATTGAACTAAATTTAAATGAAAGATGCCAGAGGGGTACCGCCAAACTAAAAAAAACTCTGATGGAACTTAGCACATTGAGGATGGGAGACACAAATGTGTGTTTTTGTGTAGGGTGCAGTTTCATGCTACTGTGATTCTTTCTGTGTACTATTTGGTTCTGAGTTGTGCTTGTGTGGATTGGATGTTTCGTTTAGTACCATTTTTTTTACCATCAGCTGTGCTCTTATTGCTTTGTATTTATTTATTTGTATGATTAAAATCTATGTTATGTGTAGGGTGCTGGTTCTCAATGTGTTGAAAGCAGCTGGTGCAAAATATAATCAGGGAATCCTAAATTAGATATTTAGGGTCATAGACCAGCATATGAAGGAAGATATCTGAAGCTCCCTTCTTTGGCATGTTAAGGATTAAAATCCATGGTTAAACTTTTGTCTCACAATGAGATTCTATATGACCAAGATGTTTTATGCCTTATGCAGATTTTTCTCTGAGTGAGGAAGTTTATCTATGGGGCTTCTATTGCTATCATGCACCAGCAATTAAATTGCAAAGCCCCGGCTGGAGAAAACTTAGCACTTAAAGGGTTAGATCACTTTTCTACAAGTTGAGCTCCATCTTTTGGTCATGATGAATGAAGGCTATTGCCAAAAAACCCTGTATTTATTGAACAAGAAACAAGGAGAGAAAGATGAAACTGATGATGTCACATGGCCAATTGGAGGAAGTGGAGTGTGTAGTGTATTTTGGTGTCAGAAGCAAAGGAGAAGAGGGAGAGGGAAATTATGACACCCAAATATGTGACACTTCATATTTATTTTCCTTCATATTTTTCCTTGGCCTAATTGGCCAAGTTGCATCTGTTTTTTTTGCATTCCCTGCATTTCTTTAATAGATGGTCCGATAAAAGAGCAGTATTTTGACAATGGCCTTCATTTATGATTCACTGAGAGTTGAAGTTATAAAAAGTGAACTCCCTGACTAATGTTATTTGTCTTAGAGTGCAAACAGATTGATTTTTTATTTCCAGCTTCTGAGTGGTCATGTGCCAGATGGAAGGTTGAGTGGTAGTGCTGAAGCAAAACCCATGGGTTCTGTGAAGGATGCAAGAGATGCAGCCAAGCAGGCCCTCCTGGGTCATCTTTCCAGGGTTATTTCAGCATTGGCAAAGCTGTTGATACACTCGTAAGGCCCATCCTTCTTTTCATTTCATTGTCACATCTTGGAAAAATTAGATAAACACTTTCCTGACAAGCTATTTCTCAAAAGGCAAAATCATTTACAGAAAACTCCTCTCCATTACTCCGTTCGCTGCCGATGACGCACTTTTCTATGGAAAGGATAACGACGAGGTGCATCATTGGCAGCGAACATGTTAGCCTCTTCAGTGGGCATGATATATATCCTTCATGGGGAAACACTTCCTTGGTGGGTTTTACATGTATACAGTAGATGCAGCTTATGATTACTAGTTTTTGTTATCAACTTAATAATGTGATCATATTTCAAAAACCAAAGCTAATAGGTGGTGGCAGCATTTGATTGCCATCTCTTCTTGTTATCAGCCACTTAATGTTCTCAAATTTCCTTGTACCAATGTGGTCACAATAAGCAGCATCTACTGTATATGTCATACTATAGTAAACACAAAGTAGTAAAGTTCTGTACATAAGCACTAATTATTGCTCCCAGGAAAAAGACCTCAATCCAATGGCAGACTTCTATTCCAGAAGTTCCCCACTTAAGGGGTTAATGACAGTGCACTTCCTCTGAGGTGCAATCATTATGTATTATGTGTATTATGTAGAGGGCACTGGAAATTGGTGGGGCACATTATCTCTGGTTTTATTCTGATAGTTGTGGTGTCTGCAAATATGGGTATGATGTTCTATTGACAGTTGTGTAGAATGAGGGCCATAAATGAATATATGCATCTTGAAGGATTTCTAACCCTGTGCTCCTGAATTTTCCAGAGGAGAGAAGGTGAAAGAGAAGATCATTGAGATCCTGAATCCAATTGCTTCAGTGAGTCAGGAAGCTTTCCTAACAGCTCTTGCAAGTGTTTGGAGTGCCACTCGGATACTATCTGTGAGTTTTCTCTTCATGGATACATCCCAGTTTGGTTTCATCTTTTAGCCCTGCTAATTTCAAATATGATTTTAAGGGAAAATACAGGGTGACATGCAACTCATCAGTTAAACTTAAACTAATTGATTTTCTAATGGTTCTCTATGGGAATTGGTTTGACAGAGAGAATCTAGTTCCCATTGATGCCCATCATGAAATCATATTAGTTTTAGAGTTAAATGGATTTGGTGCATATCACCCATAATAGAAGACTTGGTCTTTTATTTGCATCTATATTATATGGTAGATTCAGAAGAGTAGTACAGTATAATCCTCTGGATATGTAATTTTGTTGATATTTGCATTAAGGTTTAGCTTCTAAATTTCATCAGCTACAGAGGTCATTAACTTTATGGTCTGTTTTTACCAGATTGGTCCTTTGGTTCAACCCATCCTTATATGGGGTGGACACAAAGTTTATTACAAAAAATAAGTTCTGGTGGCCTATCTATAAAGGATATGAAAGTTGAAATTTTGCTGTGACAGTGGAAAGTGGAAGTTTTTTTTTTAAGTCACTTGTTCATTTTGAACAGAACCAATATTATGGTTATAAAAAAAAATTTATTTTTTCACTTTCTCACTGATTTTGGCCCAATTTCTCCCAGCAACTCCACTGATTCTGGTCTCTTTTCTTCTATTTTCAGGTGAGTCATGGCTGAGCACCTCGATGAAAGTGATTAAAATAAATCAGGAAGAAGTCATCAAAGTTATTGCATGGATAGGTACCCCTAGGGGTGTGATCAGAGAGCAACTTTTATTCTTTCTTTCTGATTAATTTCAATCACATTCATCAGGGTAGGGTGCTCAGCCATCATTCACCTGGAAATGGAAGAAAAGGAAGTAGAACCAGAGGAGTTGCTGGGAGAAACTGGGCAGAAATGAAATAAGAAAGTGAAAAAAATAATTTTTAGTTGATATCATGACATTGATTCTGTTCAAAATGAACAAGTAACTCCAAAAAAACTTAAAGTTTTCAACTTTCATTGAGCAAAATGTCAAATTCACAGCTTTTGTAGTAAAGCCTCCAGTGATATTTTAGTTTTGCAAGCAAACTTTGGGTTCACCCTGTAATTTTGTAGTAGTAATGACAGTTATGTGTTGTAAGCCATCATTTATGCCCATACCACTCTTCTGCCAGAAGAAAAGCACTTGACTGTCACTCTTAATGCATTCCTTTATACATCTTGCTCTAAACTTTAATTTGAGATCAGAAAGAATGCATGATCATTTGTTCTTGCCCAAGTCTCCATGAAAGAAAAAACCACAATTGTTCAGCAGTGCCATTTTTTCATTTCCTTCTAGGCAGGAATAAGAGATGGTGATGAGACAAGAATGAGTCTGGTGCTATTAATTAATGCCCTGCCTTCATTTTCTCTTCATGTTGCTGTTACTTCCATGCGTGGGATCCTCAAGTCACATCTTCCATCTGAGGTTAGAATCAAATTATACTTCCATTTCTTGAAAGGCTTGTGCACTGGAAGCTAGATGGTCTTTCTGATTTGCATTTTATTATATCTGAACACATGGGATGCCACAGTGACAGCATTCTATTACATGTACCATTGTGCATCCTTCCATCACTTTTCTGAAAATCACCTTTGGTGAATCCCCTCAATACCATTCTTACCAACTCTTGTTTATCTTGTTTGAACATCTGTGATCCCCATAGTGACTGAAAAACATGATCTTGAGAATTTTGACAATATATATCATTTGTCAGCTGCCTTGGGGGAAGGATTGGATAGTCACAGCCAGTGGAAGCAGAATGCCATTTGCTAAATATAGCACCTTAAACTGACCAGGCCAGAGCTACAGTTTTGGAGTGAAGCTTTTACACCTAAAGCAGAGCACTTACCCTGTTCCTGTTTAGCTTATGCAAACCATGCTAGACCAGGAGTTCTTTATTGCTGGCTCATGAACCAAAAGGACTCCCTTTGGTCAACAATGGCTCTTAGAAGTAATGGTTCATGACTTCTGCAGACACTGCTTGAGCTTACATTAATACATGCCAATTGTTTTTCAGAGAATAAAGAAAATGTTGATTTAAAATTCAAATTTAATGGCCAGGAACTATCAATAGTTATGATGCAGGAAATAATGAAATTTCACAATAATGCACAAAGTCAACTTACTTTATGAGAAATAACTGTTGGTGCCAACCTTTTTGAGGCCAGTTCATCTTCATTTTGATAAGCTTGATGCTTCTTCTGTAATTCCTTAATTTTAATATGGGCTGGTGGCTTTTGTGTTAATGCACTAAATTGATTTATGGTATCTGTGAAAATTGATATGCAGTGGAACCCAGATGATGGCTCTCACATATACTGGGCATTCACCCAGTGGTGACTCACCTGAAAATATGTTTGAATACCTCCTGGTTAAATGATACGTCATCACAATCTATGTTTTCAAATGCAATGTGATACAATGCTGTTATTGCCATGCAAATGATTAATTTGGATAGGATCTTCTCTGGATGCTACTATAGAATAGCTGCAAGCTGGATGGGAAATGAACTGATGGGTGCTCTAAGGGAGAAAGGCTGTTCCTTGACTTGATTAAAGGAATGGGTAAAGAAATGCATTGGTGGATGAATTGTGGCACTCTTAGAAATTGAAGCTTGAATGTTCTCTGCTATATCTAGGGTGTCATAATACCTCACTGTTCAACACATAACCATTTTTTATTTCCTGTCAACAATACTGATGCCAGTGGGACAACTATTGGAGGTTTTTGTGAGTAATTTTGACTTGACTGTTAGCAAGCATTCTTGATGAAGCACAGAGCCTCATCAATTTGGTAAAGAAAGCAGAATACTTTTTTTAGTATTCAGGTCATGCCCCCTTTCCAGGTTCATTTTTGGGGGTGTTTATCCCTTAGCCCCTTCCCCTTCCCCATGAAAAGACATGCATTAAAGATAGAAATTGAGTAAATTTCATCCATGCAAGGATGATGCAATTCATTTTTTGTTGCTCTCTTTGTTGAAGTGTCACTACTATCTGACATTCTGTTCTCCACAGGAGGGGATAAGAGAAGTTGCCTTGATGGAGTGGGTCAAAGCAAGTCTTACAGCAGTTGATGTTAAAAAGCTCGAAGAAGCCTGGTCTCCATTGTTGGCGTGCATAAGAGAGTGCAGTGCTCTGCCATATGCTTCCCCTAGACTACATTTTCTTCTCCTGGAAACACTTCATGTTTATGTTTCATCAGTGTCCTTACCTGAAGGAAAAAAGGAAATGCGAGAACTTCAGGATATTGCTTCCAAGGTCAACAACTTGCAAGCTGGCTCCCATACAATGTTCAGACTGTTCTTGTCATTGACATAGATATTAGACTACTTTGTAATCACCTTGATATATGTTTTCACATTGCGTGTGTTATGCAAGAAGGGCATGTGCCTCTGAGGTTACTTTTCAGCAGAAATCTCCTGAACTCCCATTGTCACCTCATCTATCTGATATTTTTATAGGCCTGTAGCTCTTCTCCATGCTTTCTACAATTCATATACAGGGTGTCCATGAAAATAATGAAGCAATTTGAAAAAAATTAAGAAGCTTTTAAACTGCTTCTTGTAAAACAATGAAACAAAGACTGTAAGAAAAGGACACTGGAATTTTTATTTATTTTTGAGCACTAAAAAGTAAACAAGCACCTCTGTACCATCCCTTGAGAAATTTGTAAATTTCTCAAAAGCATGCACCCATTATAAACAATGGCAACTGGCCACAGAAGGCTCAGTGTGTGCTGTGACTTGCAAATTTTGACTCAGCTACACAAGTGCAGCATGAGTTTACTAGGAAAAACCACCTTCACGCAATGCCATCACAAAGTGATACAAATTTGAAGAATCTTCAACTGATACACTCAAATGGCTCTGGACTTTTCCTTTTTTGACATTGCCAGTCTCTTCAAACTGTTAGTATCACCTTGTGATGGCATTGTGTGAAGGTGGTTTTTCCTTGTAAACTTGCAAAAACTCTCATTGCACTTGTGTGGCAGAGTCAAGTATTGTAAGCCACAGCATAAGCCTAAATATCTAAGAAACTTAGCAGCTATTTCAGGGGCTCCATAGAATTTCAAAGAGCAGCACTTTTTGCTTTTTTTTGGCCTCACCTAGTATATTGCTTCCATGTTGGTTTTAAGGTTCTTAGCAACTTTTAATATGCTTTTCTTATGGCAGGTCATTGAAAATATTGCTGCCATTGGTGCCTCATGTTTAGAACAAAAGAGTTGGTTTCTTGGGAAGAACTATCCATCCAAGGCTTCCAGTGGACATTGTCATGGTGAGAATCCAGACTTTGGATTCATTATCTTCTAGAGTGTAGACTTAGAGTGCACAAGGCATGCTGGCTTTGTGATATGTTTGCAACGCCTCTCAAATCTTTAACTAACGCATTACCAAATAGTTTTCACTCCCAAGCATTCTACTCACATTGAAAAAAATTTTATGGGAGCCTGAAAAAAAGTGGAGAAAAATGAGAGAAAATGGAAATAGTTTTCATTTGCTATGCATATCTTTCAATTCAATTCCTAAAGAGAGATGAAATTAAACTCATTTGGTAGCATATTGTATTCTGTAACTATCCCTTGACTAATGTATCTCTGGTCTAAATATCTTTCCAACCCTAGGTTTGTGTAGCCTCAAATTATGCATGTTAATCATGCAAATGGGTCTTGAATACTGAATAAGCTTCTTTTTTTAAAATCAGTTTCACTCAGTCCTCATAAGAATTAAATTTTCTCTACCAATTTCCCCTTTGGTAGCATTCTCTCTAATTTCAACAAAACATAAAAAAAGTTTATTAGTAATTCCCTGAAGGTACCTTCTGTCATATCTCTTCAGATGCTTCCATATCTATATGCTTGAATGAACACTTAGCTGAAAAACAGTGCTTCAATATTAGTTTGAAAATTTCCCAAAGTAGGAATTAACCTAAAACTTTGTCTTTGATAATTAAATTGCACAAATGCTACAGAGATATGTTACATTTTTTATGTGAATGTATACAGTATGTTCCATAAGTCAGTTTACTGAGGGGTTTTCAGCTATGCTAAATTCTTAACTGTATTATTAATTTAGATGTCATGAATCAATTTTCAAGCATCCATCTTCCTTCACCTAGAATGAAAATAAAAACTTTAAACAATAATGTCAATTAATAGCAAAAAAAATCACACAACATAAATTAAATTACTTATATTTAGAAAAGCTGAAAATCCCTTGGTAAACTGATTTATGGGACACCCTATATATGAAATATGAATTATCCATTTTAATATGCAACTTTTGATTAAATTTGAGGAATGCACTAGTTATTATGGAGGGACTCACTGCAGTCCTCCTTATAAGTGATCATTGTGTAACTTTTTAGACTTCTTTTCATGAACTGCTAGTGGCCTGTGGCCACTATGCTGGGTGTCTAATGGGCAGAAATTTGAAAATGTTCACATAAAGATATGAAGCAGTTTGGTTCAAACCAAACATTAAAAATTTTCAAACGAACCTTCAGAAGATTGGAAGTGTTGACACCCAGCTAATTTTATTATTATTATGACCACACCTCGCAAATAAATCACAAATGAAGGAATGAATCGTGAATGGGAAAGACCATTTCAAATTCGAAAAGTGACAAATGAGGAAAAATCATCATCCTGAAAAATCAGCCTATGGCCCAGAATGGCAGAGCCTTGTAGGCCTGGTGCTGAAGGCTGGGGATGGCCTGGTTTATGGCCTAGAATGGCATAGCATCATAGGCCTCCTGCATTAGAGGTGACAGCCACCACAACTTTCAGCCTCTTTCAATTAAAGTATTAGATAGTGATAAAGGGCAGTTCCAAACCCCACTTTGGACTTTAAAGTTGCTTGGTGACTGAGCATAGCCCTAAGTGGCAAGCATCTAGAAAAATCAGTTAAAGTCAATCCTCAGAAGAAAATGAGGATCACATGCTCTTTACTTTTGGCTTGAACTGAATTCATAGATCAAGGCTGCTTCGTTTCTAATAAAGATTTTAAATTTTATCTTGTTCCATTCATCAGTCAGGAATCACTTTTATCCCATATCCAGCCTCTCTTGAAACCCAGAAGATCATCACTATCTAATCATCACTTATTTTTAGCCAGTTGTCAGTTAATAAAATAAATATAATCTTCTTATTCAGCTCCATCTTTCCTCTCTAGTCCTATTTTCTCATGACAAAACCTAGGAAAGAAAGCAAATCAGAAATTGCATTTGAAAAGGAAGTAAATTAACATAGGGTTGGAAGGGAATGCAATTTATCTTTGATAGATATTACTCTATCAAGGACACTCTGGATTGGTTGAAGAGTCTTTTGAACATTCTATTGTACTCCATGCTTGTCAAATTCCTTCAGTTTGTTTTAGAAGTATAAACTGAAAGAATTAACCCTTTCATGGGTAAAGGTTCTGTTTGAAACAGCTGATGAAAAAAATTTTCATAGCTTAATAATGAATAATTTGCAACATGCAACAGTTTTGTTTCTGTGTGGATGTAGAGCACGTCAAGAAAGGGAATTTTGAGGTTTCTTAACATGTAAAGAAATTAATTTTTAGAAGTTCTTTTTCCTAGCTATTTCTTTAAGGCTTTTGAAGTTGTAATTTTGAAAGCTTGTAATAAAATGTAAAGAAACATATGACAGAAAATAAGGACTGATTGCTAGTAGAGCTATTGAAGGTCCATGATTATTCATGATTTTTAAAATAATTTATATTTAAATTAAACTAAATTTTTATTTTTATTTTTACGTGCTTACATGTTACCTAAGCTTTGTTTAATCTGCAAGTCCACATTTTCTACATGCCTAAAACATTATTTTGGCTTGAAAATTTTGAGACTTTAATTTGGCATCCCCTATATTTCATGAAGGATCATTTACTTACAGGATACTGTATATTTATGCACTTCACTTCCCCATGTGAAAATTTCATATAAGACCATATATAAAATGGTCATATATTTAGCCAGTCTAACATATATGTGGCATATATCAACATATAGTACATTCCTATATGAAAATATATAAAAATTATATGGGGTTTGACACAAGTCACATAAAATCATGTAAGAATGAAAATATATTGCCCCATATATTTTCCTATATTGGCTCATACAACTGCACCATATATGCCATGTCACATCTTGTGCATATATGAAGTTAAACATGTCTATGTATGGTGAGAATGCCTGAAACATGCCCATATCCTAAAAGGGTTCATTATCCATCAAATACTGTATAATTACTCAAATGCCTGTCACCATGCTTGACTTATTTTTCTTGCAATTAACTCATTTTTACTTCTTCATAGACCATAGTCAATTACTCCAAGAACTCATGATTCATGGTGTTTCATTTTCATCAGTAATGCTACTTCATGACAAAACTTGACTTACTCATGTAGGAGGAGCATCTTCATTTTGAAGAGATAGCTCACAAAATTGATGGGAACAAAAACTATTTCAAGTGAGAAATAATCCAAAGAAGGAGTACCCAATGAAAGGTAAATTGAAGAAGTTGTCCATTCACTCATTCACTATGGTCAGGGCAAGAATGGAAATGCTGGTATGATAATATTTGGTATCAAGTGTATCCTCTGATAGTAGTACTTTGTTTTTCACTGCCCAGCAGGGGCATAGCATTGGGGGGGCCAGGGGGAGCACATGCCCCCATTTTACACAAAAAAAAGAGAGAAGCACTAATAAGAAGGAAAAGAATCATGAAATGCATGGTAACAGTGTCCCAGAGTTCTCATGCCCCCCCACTTTCTTCATCTTATATATGCTTGTGCTACCTAGGAAGGGTATGGGTTAGAAACAAATATTTTGGGAAATTACTTTAAAGGTTATACATAGCCTTTAAAGGTTATACATAACAAAGGTTATACATAACATAACATAGGTTTCATGTATGATGTAATGGGTGAATTAAAAATTAGTTGCAGAGGTATCCTCATTTAACAACCTCATGCAGTAGCATATTTTAGGGAGAGGGGTGCAGCTGTCGTCCCCCCCCCCCCCCCCCCCCCCCCCCGGGCGGG